TAATGAAGCTCGAATTAGATTTGTTGTCATGGTCTTATAGATATGTTAGTATATTTAGTCATGTGCTATTTAGGATTCTAGATGACCTACTACATCATCAGATGATGGCCTACTTCCTTGGTGGCCAGGTGGCCTACTACATCACAACAGTAGATTCAAGCATTCAGTCATGGGAATTACTAGACACTAAATTGAGAAGTGTGTATGTGTAAGAGAGAGAGGAGAAGTGTGTATATGTAAGGGTTCTCACATTAAAGAAAGGTGGCCTAGCTGGTAAGGCTCTCATAGATGCAGGATTTAGGGAGGCCCAATGAAAGGGCTTTCACATGAATAACTTAATATTTCTTCTTGTTTAGAGGAAGTCCAAGTGATCTGGCAATGCTACTATAACATAATCAGGATAGGAGAAATCAATGCTTGATGATGTAAAAAAGCCATAAGCAACTCATCCTAACTGAACCCAATCAATGTTCTCGTTAATATGTGACTCTATATAAATAGCATGATCGATAGTGTAATCACCGATAATTTCTCCCTTAACATAAATTAATTACTATAAATGATATATTGCTTTATTATTAACTTTTATGTTTGTGTACTGTAGTTAAGGAAATGATTAAATTTGATTTTCTTAATCATGTGAATAAGTTATGAATTCTACTAATCAATTAAATTATTAATTGATTTATTTCCTAATAAGTGATTTGATTTTTAGGAAGTAAATAGTTTGTATTCCATTTTCGTGTGTGAACTATAAGAAATGAATATTATATTTCTCTCTTTGTGTGTGAAAGGAAAATAAAAATAAATTAAAAATAAGAATTAAATTATTACTTACATTCTGGGGAGATATCATCTTCTCTTATATAAAGGGGACTACTCCTTCCTTATTCCTCACCAAGCCTAACAATAGGAGGATTTAAGAAAGGACTTTCCGAGGAGATGATATCGAGGAAAGGATAACCGAGGAGAGGTAGGATCCTTTCTTTTTTTAATTAGCTTTGATTTATGTTTTGAAATCTTGATGTTGAGATTGTTATCATTTTATAATGCGTAATGATGTTTTAATTTTAAAATTTCATGATTATTAAATAATAATAATTGATTTGGGATGTTAGAATGTTTATTTGATTTATATTGATCTCTTAAGCTTAAGTGAATTTTAATATTGATTTAATTATTAAAATTCTTATTTTTGAATTAGCATAATAGTTCTAATTTATTTAATTAGATATATCTATGTTTTAAGAATTATGTGTAAAATTCTATAATGTAATTAGTTTTAAATTTAAGATCATGAATTTAAATTTTTAGTTAATGGATTTGAGTTATTCTTTAATAATTTTAAATATTAAAATTTAATTTGATAAGAGGAGTCTAATTGGGGTCTGACTTGAGTCAGGTTGATTTATCAGATCGGATCGACTTAGCCCATGTGGTCATGTACGACCTAACTCATGTGGTCATGTACGATGTGGTCATGTACGACCTAGCCCATGTGTGACTGGGCATGACGCAACTCATATGGCAAGGTACAACCTAACCATGTGGCCAAGCATGAGCCAGCTCTTGCGACTAGGTACAACCTAATCCATGTTGTTAGATACGACCCCAACTCATGTGTCTAGGTATGACTAACTCGCGAGCCAAGCATGACCTAGTTCAATGGTAAGACTCAACCCAACTTATAAGTGAGGCTTAGCCTAGTCCATGAAGTTAAGCCTGCCCAACTATACGATTGGCATTAGACACATCGTTGCTCTTTTATCTAGCTCGTTATACCTCAACTCAACCTATTACTTGGAACAGGCATGTGCAGTGCATGTGATCCGTCCAAGACTCAGGTGGGCTGGTTCGGTCTGGGCTAGCACTATACGACATAGTCTAATTTCTTTTTTCTTTATTGGTTTGAGCTCGTTAATTGACTAAATAATATAGGTTTGATCGGTTAAAGCTGGTTTAGGGTGATTCCAAACTAACTTGACTAGTTCAAACCTACTTGACTTAATCGAGATCAATCAAATCTAAATTAGACCAGTCTAGGATGATTCCAGATTGGTTCTATAAGGATTTGAAGTTGGTTCTGTTATGTTTTAATCAAATTGAGTTTGGTTTAAGTCTATTGAACTATTCCAATTAGAGTTTTGGTTGATTGAGGACTATTGAGAGATTGATGTTTCATGTCTTTATGATTTGATGAATTTAAAAGATTTATCTGGAGATATCATTTGAAAATGATTATTGGTTTTCTACTTTTCTCAAGTTTATGATATTGATATGATTGTTATCATGTAATAGATGTGACTATGCTAGTAGTTCACATTAGAAGTGTAACCTGTGAAAGGAGCTACAGGCACATCACAATGCGGAGCCACCAATGAACATAGTATAGTAGATTTACGTCAAGTATGGTTTCTCATAATATTTAATCATATTGATTTCTTGATGCATATGTGAGTGAATGGATGAGTGTAAATGAATGATCATGGATGTTTGTGCATCCATGCCGAGGGTAGGTATGGCGATTCCCTTCGAGGATTAGCGGGCCGTCAAACGTGATGGTTAGACGGTTCCTCCATCCGATGTTGGGAGGAACGTGTCTCCACTTGGGCGGGTGAGGGATACCACTCCATCCGCTGTTGGGAGTGCGATATGGATTATCTTCATCCGCTGTTGGGAGGAATCCATCCCGTGGAATATGCCTCTCTATCCGTTGTTGGGAGAGTGCATCATCCGGTGATGTACGCCTTTGTTATTATGTATGTGTTGCGTGTGGTTGATTATTGATTTTGTTTATTATGTAAGAAATTATCATCGTTTTTCTGATTCATAAGTTTTATGATGAATCGATATATTATCATTTCTTATTAAATTATTGATATTTATTTTGATTTCATGAATATTGAAGATTATTGTTATGATTTTTTTTAGGTTCCTACCAGCATGTGTAGTTGTTGATATATTTTTATCTTATATTTATTTTCAGAGTAATCTACTATTTTGTAATAGATTTGAAGCTTGGGTGGAAGAGACTTGTGACCCCACTGAGAAGATGTAGTTACTTTTCTAATTAATAGAATATTTACTATTGTAAAGACAAAGATTTGAATTCAAAGACGAAGAAAAAAAAAAGAAAAAGAGGGAGTTTATTATGTAAATTATGAATAATAAATTACTAATTTATTATTCTTTTTATAAATCCAGGTCATGACAGATAGCTTTATAAGCACAACATGCATGCATAGTACCAAAGAATCATTTGTTACAATTTGGTAGCAAATTAAACTTTTTAAGAACAGTACTGTCAATAACCTAAAAAACACAAAAGGGAAAAGGAAAGATTAGTAATAAAGAAAGAGAGGAGTGAATTTGTTGTGCAGGAGAAGATTAGAAACAATGGTGCAAGGAACGATTGCCCTTTTAGTAATGAGTCTATCTGAACCAAAGCATCAGGGGGACAATTGTCACATTAGATAAGAATCACTGGAAACTTGATAGCATCAGTTCAAGGAAGATGGGTTTGTTACTCTTTCTAGTTTCTACTTTGCATGATGAAGAGACATTGTTCATGTTAGTTGGCTTGTTAACATTTATGGGGTAACTAAGTGTATATTTCTGGTGGGAGTGGTTGGGTGATATTGAAGTAATGAACACGAGCACAAAAAGTTTTTTTTTCTCTCGAGCTTTTATTTTGCATATTCTCTCGTGTTTTTTCAGCCATGTGTTCCTTATCAATATTTGTCTCTGAGATATCTGAAGAAAATGGCATGCAACTTGAGTTGGCTGCTGTGGCTTTTTCTTTATAAATGCCATGAGTTCATATTAGTTTGGCTTGTTAACATCTATGGGGACACTAAGTGCATATTTCTAATGGGAATGGCTGGGTGGTTTGATGAAGTGCTGAACACTAGCACAAGGATTTTTTTTTCTCTCTTTAGCTTTGATTTTGCGTATTCTCTCGTCTTTTTTCAGCCATGTGTTCCTTCTCTATATTTGTCTCTGAGATATCTGAAGAAAATGGCATGCGACTTGAGTTGCTTGATGTGGCTTTTCCCCTATAAATTAAGAAAGGAACTAGGCATGGCAAGGCATTATTATATATATACATATATTCTGTATAGATATATAGATACAGAACTAGGTATGGTAAGGATAAACAACTGCCACTTTGAACACTAACTGTTGGAGGTAAATAGATTCCTATGTTAGTTTAATGTCCATTTTGCAGAGTGCACCAACAACGGCTGAAAGTTTTATTCATCCGATGTTATTCTTTGACAACTTTTTTATTTATATTTCTGTTGTCGTCTCTTGAAAATCAGGATCTTAAAACTATGTACTTCATATGGTATTAAGTCCTAAGTTCAATTATTTATAATATTTAAAGTTTCCTATTAAAGAATACATGACAAAAGTATGTTGAGCTCATATATTTACTTTCATGTTAATTAGATAATGACTAGCCAAACAAGTTATGGCTATATAATGTTAGGGATATTTGAGTTATCTGCTTTAATAATGTGATGTACCCACAGGTAGTCTAGGCATGTTTGAACATTACATTTTATTTGTTGACTACAGTAAGGAGTCATAGTCTACAGCATGTGTAGTCATGAGACTTATGACTACCTTTTTGTTTGACTACTCTTAGAGATGAGTTTGTGGAGTGAGACCATTCCACCTTTGAAGCGAGGTGCACTCTCCTTGACTGCTCTAAGAGATATCAGGCTTTAGTCTATGGTTTGTGTAGACAAAACTATTTTGTACAAACTTCATACTTAATCAATTTACTTTTACTTACAAAAAAAAGAGGGATATTCGAGTTGCTTGATCCAATTATATCTTCTTGCTTCCAAGTCTTCTAAGTTCCAAACTTAATTTGTAAATAATCTTAATCCAATTTATTAATATCCATGTTTATTTGAGTGAAATATTGAAGCTAAAGTTGCTTGCTCATTGCTTCAGCAACCATCTTAAATCTTTTTTCTTGTTGGCATCAGGGCGGAGCAAATGCTGGACATACCATTTACAATGCTGAGGGCAAAAAGTTTGCTCTCCATCTTGTTCCTTCGGGAATCCTGAATGAGGAAACTCTGTGTATAATTGGTAATGGAGCTGTAGTACATCTTCCTGGGCTATTTCAAGAAATTGATGGTCTGGAATCCAATGGAGTCTCCTGTGAAGGAAGAATATTGGTGTCTGATCGTGCCCATTTGTTATTTGATTTTCATCAAGTTGTTGATGGACTTAGAGAAGCGGAACTTGGGAATTCTCTTATTGGAACAACAAAGCGAGGAATTGGTCCTTGCTATTCAAGCAAGGTTATACGGAATGGAATAAGAGTGTGCGATCTCAGACATATGGATACTTTTGTTCAGAAGCTTGATACTTTAATGAGGGATGCTGCTTCCCGGTTCGAAGGATTTAAATACAATGTCGACATGCTTGACAAGGAAGTTGACAGTTACAAGAAATTTGCAGAGAGGTTGGATCCATTTATTTCAGATACTGTGCATGTCATTAATGAGTCAATCTTGCAAAAGAAGAGCATATTGGTTGAAGGTGGTCAAGCAACAATGTTGGATATTGACTTTGGAACTTACCCATTTGTGACTTCCTCAAGTCCTTCAGCTGGTGGAATATGCACAGGTCTTGGGATAGCTCCCAGATGCCTTGGTGATATTATTGGTGTTGTGAGTAGAATCTTTCTTTTATACTTCACTGGTGGTTTTTCCCATTCTAAATTTTATATTTAATGTTTGTGCAGGTGAAAGCTTACACCACTCGAGTTGGTTCTGGTCCTTTTCCAACTGAAATTTTAGGTAAAAGTGGTGATGTTCTTAGAGTTGCTGGCATGGAGTTTGGAACAACCACTGGTCGTCCTCGGCGCTGCGGATGGCTCGATATAGTTGCACTAAAGTACTGCTGCCAGATAAATGGTTTTTCATCACTCAATCTCACCAAGCTTGATGTGCTGTCTGAACTTTCAGAAATCAAGCTCGGTATCTCTTACAGACGAAAAAATGATGGTGAAAAGGTCGAGTCATTCCCTGCAGACCTTCATCTTATGGAGCAAACACAGGCATGTTTTTAATAGCTTTACAGTTATCCTCTGTTAAGTTCATTTCGAACCATGAACTTAACTTATAATATCAACTACCTTCGTTGGCAAAGATTTTAATTGTTGATGATAATGTCCAATCTTGTATTCACTGCTTACTCATTCTACAAAAAAAGAATTTTAATGCTAACAACAGCTGCTGATTATTGCAAGAGTTTTGGTTCTTACCCTGTCTGAACCTCAATCTTTGTTTCATTTATTTATTTTTTCGGTGTTGGACATGGACGTGATATGTAGGTGGATTTCTTTTCTTTCGGAAGAATTCTTGGAATCTTTATTTTTTCTTTTGGTGATGTAGGTCGATTATGAAGTGCTACCGGGATGGCAGTGTGATATTTCATCGATCCGGAACTACAAAGACCTTCCCTCAATGGCTCATCGGTATGTTGAACGGATAGAAGAGCTTGTCGGTGTCCCCATTCACTATATCGGTGTTGGACCAGGACGCGATGCCATTATCTTTAAATAAGTCAGGTTCCTGGTCCACTATCATTATTAGAAGTCTTGTATTTTGATGTGCTTCTAAGGCAATTACCAAATCAGACTCTCCACTCCTTTCTTGAACATGTTCTCATTCATGCTGAAGAAAAGATATGGATCAATTGGAATTTGAGTTTCAAAATGAAACAGGAAAATTTGATCCATCATTTGGTGTGGCCAATTTTATCTACTAGATTTTTTGTGCATGTATAACCAAAGTGTAAGTTCTTGTAATGCTCATCTTATGAGGTATCAATGAAAAGTTAATGATAGAAATAAGCTGGATTTTCCAGCAATCATCTATTAATGTTATTATCATCTACTTAACCTTTTTTTTTTTTTGGTGCACCCACTCATCTATTATTGGTGGACCCAATAATCATCTATTAATATTAATATATTACTGACAGGATTCGAGGTTTTTAGATGTTTCTTTCTACTCTCTCAAGTATCTTATAATAATATACTGAGATTTTTAAATTTATTTTGGATATTTATTATTATTATTATTAAATATTCTGAGTAACTAAACACAACCAACATGAGGAAATTTGAGTTCGTGGTGGTTCACCAACCTTTGCAGGAGACGTAACTTGAACCAACTAGAGTGGTTGACAATTTAAGACCCGAATTTGATCGCACTTGCGACTTCATTACGCATAAAGTAGAACCAACTGCTTTTCGCTACCCACCGCCGCCCCCATTTGCCAATCTGGTGGTGAATTTGTTACTAACAGCCACTTTTCGCTACGAAAAGTGTCCAGGCAGCCGCTTCTCGACCCGGAGCCGCAGGACAACCCGATCCAAGAAGACCCGATTCGGTGATCTTGACCCTCTTTCTATCAACCAACCGGAAAGCGTTTCTCGTGCTGCGCCGTCGGTCGGCCGGGAGACGGGAGCAGCAGAATCCCTCTTCCCTGGTGTTATAAATCTATTCCAACGCCCCCAGTCAAGTTCTTTTGCGCAAATCATACGGGAAGGTTTAATCCACGGGTCCCTTCGTTCCAACCAATGGGATGGCGTTTTCTCGTGTTGCAACGCTCGGCTGGGACACTGGAGCAGCAGCATCTCCCTTCCATCGCCTCATAAATCTCTTCCAACGTCCCCAATTAAGTCTTTTCCGACTCTTAGTGTGTAAGTCTAAGCGTGGACCCTTACCACGCACCAATCGTAATCCGTTCTCTCGTGTTGCATCGTTCGCCCACGACACTGCAGCAGCAACATCCCTCTTCCGTGGTCTCATAAATGTCTTCCAGCGCCCCCAATCAATGCGTGCAAATGGGTGCGACTGAGGCCCATGTCCGAGCGGAGATTTCTAGCTGAGATAGGGTAAAGATTCTGCTTTGTCTCGACCATGTCGATCGCCGCGGCGTTGGTTGTGGTTCCCCTCGGCCTTCTTTTCCTCCTCTCGGGGTTAATCGTGAATCTCGTCCAGGTAGCCTCATTTTTCGCCAGTTCTTGTTCTTTTCTTGTCGCAGCTTTTTTCTTTGATAGATTTTTAGTTTTTTGTATAGATTGGTGGAATATGGGTGGAATTTCCAGTTTTTGTTTGAAGAAGTCGGATAATTTTAGCTGCTGTTGTAGTTTAGGTTTGGTTTTTAGTTCGTTATGGCATTTCATGTTCCTTGTCGTCTTGTTATAGACCAGACGGTGATTCACGCATTTTCTTTGTCTTAGATTTGAGCCTTTTGACGTTTTCAATCTACTTGTCTCATTTACTTGTGTTCTGTCTTTTTGTTATTTGTCAAAGATTCGATTTTTCTTTCTATATTAGATTTTCTGCAAGCATGGTGGCTATTTATTTTTAATTTCCTTCGCTGCAGGCTATCTTTTTCATCACAATTCGGCCTTTCTCGAAAAGTCTTTACAGGAGGATTAACAGAGTGGTGGCGGAATTACTGTGGCTCCAGGTTATCTGGCTTGTTGACTGGTGGGCTGGTGTCAAGGTAAACTTTCTTAAAGATCTAAATTTCATCATAATTATTTCCTCTGACCATTTGCTCATCTGGTATGACTGACATATCCTGTTTGGTGTCTGTGGATTACTGTCTATTTTGCATGTTGAGGTGATGCTGATGCATGTTCGCTGCAGCATCTTAAGCAGGGAACTTGCTCTGTATCCGCTGATACAGGTTGAAATTGATCGGAATTTGATTGGTACCGACCTAGATTGAGTCTAGTTTTAACCCCAGTGGTGAAATTGACTGTCGGGGCCTCTTTTGGGCTTTAAATCCTCCTCTATCCCCCTCTTTTGGTCACTCTCATGCACTCTATTCTCACTCTTTCTCACACTCTTACTCGTGATTAAAATTCAAATGAAAACCTAAAATAGACCCTTTAAAACCTAATATGCCAAAAGGAACTAGATCAATTTTATAACCTCATAATTGGAGATGATGAGATGAAAGCTCTTAGTTGAACAAATTCTTTTAGCATGGAAGTTGTATAGCAATATAAATAAACTATAATCTTTATTATGATTTTTTTTTCGCATCATGTCATACTTAAAGAGGCCAACTCTAATGCTAAATCCATCCTAGAATGTCTAGTTTTAATCGGATCAATGGACTTACAAAGAGCATTTATGTCTTGAAGCATACATCAACGAAGAATGTTTCCCAATAAGATTACTAAATTAGACAAAAGAAAAACTTACAAATCTTTACAAACTTTTTCTTCTCGGAAGATGAGGAGTCTAAGAGAGCGTCAACTGGCTTATGAGATCGAGGTGATTCTTTATTGCTTGTCGATGCCCTTACAAGATGTACTAAGGGGTTTTTATAGAGATATAAGAGTGTTGAGAGGATTCTGAAGGATGTTAAAGTTTTTATCTTCTTTTATTTTTTTCTCAAATAAAGCTAACATTCTACTTTCGAAGTGGCTTGCCATATTTGCTCCGGTGGTGATGCTTTTTTGTTATTTTTCATCGGTCAGTTGTTATCCTGTGTCAATTGAAGTGACTTCTTATCATTTAGTATCAGTTGGGTCGTCCCTTGAAGATTCTTTACTTATACCCCATTTTCATCCATGATTTCTTCTTCATTTGCATTGTTTTATATTATTATGCATTATACTTCATTTACAAGTTCATCGGTTCCATTACCTTCCTATGGTCTAATAGTATCCTATGGTACATCGTCCCAGTCTTCATTGTCGTCCTAAATGGTGGTGCATATATAATTCTTGTTCCATGATAATTTCTTGATTCACCTAATCTGTCATTGGGATATAGATTATATGTGATATAAATTTATTAGAATATACCTCGTATTATGAACCTTGATCTACTAGCCTCATATTGTATTAAACTCTATTGTTTATAGTGTAATGTGCTTTGTACTTCTAATAGATTCTTCAGTTGACCTTTGATGAGATCTAATTAAGTAAAAAATGACTAAGAAATAGTAAGAGGAATGAATCATTATAGATCTCATCAAAGGTCAAATGAAGACTATAATATTAGAAGGTATAAGACACATTACATTACAAGGGATATAGTTCAATACAGGATGAGGCTAGTAGCTTAAGGTTCGTGGTACGTGGTGTATTTTGATAAATTTATACCACCTATACATCTTATTCCAAGAACAGATTATCGTAGAACAAGAACTATGTATGCATTATTTGGGAGAAGACATTGGAGATTAGAACAAAGTACCAGGGGATAATATCGAACCATGGGAAGATAATGGCAATGTTGAACTTATAAGTAAAGTACAACACATGATAATATAAAATAATATAGATGAAGAAGAAATGATGTTTGAAAATAAGATATAACTGAAGAATCTTGAAATGACCACTCAATCGATACTAGACAATGAGAAGACACTTCAGTCGACACAAGACAACAACAAACAGTTGCAAAATAACAAAAATAGAATGTTAGATTTGTTAGAAGAAAAAAAGAAGATAAAAAGAAGCCACTTTAGTCGACACAAGACAACAACCAACAATTGCAAAAGAACAAAAATAGAATGTTAGATTTGTTAGAGAAAAAAAAAAGAAGATAATAGTTGTAACAAACTTTAGAATACTCTCGACTCTCTTGTATTTCTATAAAAACCATTTAGTTCATCTTCTAAGGGCATTAACAAGCAATTGATGCTCTCTTATACTCCTCATCCTCATAGAAGAAAATGTTTGTAAAACTTTGTAAGTTTTTCTTCTGCCTTGAATAAATTAGTGATTTTTTTAAAAATGTTCTTTCTAGATGTACAACTTAAATACTTGAATGCTTTTTGTAGGTATGTTGGTTTAACTTATGATACTAGACACCATAGAGTTGGCCTCTTTAAGCATGACATCATACGAAAAATCTTTATAGTAAAGATTATATAGTTTATTCAAATTGTAATAGAACTTTCAGATCGAAAGGATTTTGTCAACCAGGAACTTCTATCTCATCATCTCTAGTTCTGAGGTTATAAGGTTGAACTAGTTCCTTTTGTGAAGTTTTTTGGGGATCAGGATTTGGGTTCTGGGTTTAGGGTTTAAAGGGTCGATTTTAGGTTTTAGTATTAGATTGATTCAAGATCAATGGAAGCAACTTCACGGAGGCTCATATATCTAAGCAACTTCCTTAGATACACTTTATTATTTTCTAAATATAATTTATATACCAATAAATTAGGACAACAAACCCTAAGAAATGATTTTCAATTTTTTGGTCATTTTTTTATCTTTTTCCTGAAAAACAAGTATGCCAGTGTCGACCGGTATGTAACAATCTGGCCAGGGACCGATACCACCAGCCGGCATGGCACAGTGGTTCTTGGATTTCAGTTCTATTGAACAGGGACATGTTCGTCAACATGCTCGTATGGCATGGATTGGCATGACATAAATCTGAAATCCATGGTTGGAACAAGTATATCTGTCATCTTTATACCATAGTAATAATTGTTACATCCAAACCACTTAATTATACAAAATACTATACTTTCTGCCAAAGCATTGTCAATGTCATGATGGGATATGATGACTGTAGACATTCAATCCTTTGAAAGATCCGTGTTCTGAAAAGCAGTTGTTTCTATCTATGCTGCACATGTATAAACTTATTTATAACTTTTTCACATGAATTTCAAATGTTAATGTTTGAATCCGTTGAGATGGCAACAGACATTTTAATGAGAGCTCTCATCCTGCCTCTTCTTCTACTGCTACAACATAATTTTG